TTATTTTTAGTTCTATCGGCTATTTATTACCACTACTTATGTCCTTACCAACATAGCTAAACTCAACAGTAGATGTAAATAAATTGTCCCTTTAGAACGTAAATAATTTTTTTTTTATAATGATTCTTTTAAAACCCCTTAAAATTCATTTTTGTAACCCAAAACAGGTAAGTAAAATTTAAGAATTCAAGGAGAGTGTTTTCAGAGTTGGTACAGTTGAAAAAGATGATAATTCTCTACATTTGTTCAGCTTTGTGAATCCATTTTGCTTACCTACTACTAATGTGTAAGTATATCTAACCATCTGGATTCACCGCTTCAGTCAAGTCTCCCATTCAGCTAAATATGAAGCATTCCTTCTGTTCACAGACGTCTAATTCCTCCTGCCGCTCGACAAATGTACACAATATGGCTGTGCAATCGACACACATTTACTGATCTTGATAAAAACAAACTCCCACTCATGCACCCACTGACCCACTGACCCATTTGTGAGTGAGTGTGTCTGTGTGTCATGTCCCGAACCGTGCACGTATGTGTGTGTGTTTGAGGGAAAGAGCTCCCTGCTCCAGTTGAACTGACCCCATTCCCCTCAGACTAGCAGGTGACAAAATAAACTTAGGCCGGACAAAAGGGAAGCCATGGCGAGGCTCTTGTTGTCAAAACAGGGACTAACTATCTGGCAGACAGCCATCCGTCCCTCCATCCATCTCCCAGCACATCCTTTTTAAAATGTAACTGTACCCCATGTAAGAGCATAACCCCGCTCCCAGACAAATTTGAAAAAAATGTCACCAAAATGGGCAAATCAAAATAGACAATAGACACGGCTAAATGTGGGGAGGAGCGGAGATGATTTAGCGGGGCTGTAGTCGGGATGAGGAAACAGGGAATTAATATAACTAAATAATCAAAGCAAATAAAGTCAACCTAAAAAAAATCAATCAAATTTTGCAATCTCAACTCATGGCCCATCATTTCATTGATTCATGATGTGTTTAAGTTTAAGTTTTATAACCTAAAGAAAAGTGGAACAGACACGTATGGGGTGTGCCAATAAGCTGCTATAACCATCCTTCAGCCAACAGAGGGCAGCGTTAGGATGATTTTAGGCCAAATATGGCAAGAAATTAACATGATTACACAAAAATATGAGGATTTGCAGAAAAACATAAAGACAGCACCCTTAAGGCCCAATTAATACAGATTATCAGCAAAATAAAAGTTCACTTGTGGTTTAGTGACTCTTTAATACCTATTTCCCATTGGCCAAAAATCCTATTCAAACCCAGGAACATCCGGCATTTAGTGGCAGTGGGAATGGCTCACTGACCCATGTCAAACATCTTGGTAATGGATATAGGTTAAAATTACCTTTAACAGGTCAGCTCTGATCAGCATACATTGGGATCAGCAGACCCGCTAAATTACGGCTGATCTACACTCAGAATCCAGGTCGTTTGCGTGTGTGTCGCAGTGAAATGTGCCCCCCGCCCCTGACGCAGACAGGAGGCCTCTGATTGGTCAAATCTACATCCGCTCTACACTATGTGCATTTCCTGTTTGGTACCTTACTGGCTTGTTTTGTTTGTATGACCACCATTGTGGAAATTAACCCTTGAAGATTGACCGGCTAGAAGAGCGAGCTAGGACCCTTTTTCCACCTGGATCCTTGCTCTTTTTCACCCTCATGTCCCTCCATTGTCCCAAAAACTTCCCCCTACTTCCTTACCGCCTAGGCCGTATCTAGACCCACAGCTAGTTCCTGA